GAAGAGGTGCCCTTTGAGGAAGAAGCCAGTAACCTAGGGGAAAGCTAAAGCCAAGGCAAAGGCCCAAGCTTGCAAGCAGAACGCCCAGGTAACAGGCGCGCCTGAGGAGGAAGCCGCAAGAGTTGCACACAGGAGCACAGAGACAGGTATTCCAAGGCACAAAGGAAGAGACGCTTGCAAGCATGCCTACAGCCTTGGCCTACAGTCTGCTTGGCCTACAGCCCACGTGTCCTCATTTGGAGCTGATACTTGCAATCTGAGCGACCTCTCTTTCACTCGACACTTGCGATCACTGCTGGGGCCGTTCTGGGGCAAAACATCGGGAAAGGCGGCTCTGTATTCGGGATGAGCCGAAAAAATGGAAAAGAAAACGTTCAGATTTCTGGAGCAAATCCCTTGAGCCAATGGTTCAGGAATGTCAAGATCATCCTTCTTTTGTGTTCAGGCGCACGCTTACGCGTTCCGAGTTCATCCCCGGCCCTTTTTCACGAATCCGCCCTCCCTCCTTCTATTGACGTTATTTGGGGCCAGTACAAACAACCAAAAAGTGCCGCCACTCTCTTGTTCTTTCACTTGTTCCTGGGGTTGCTTGTCATTTCGGTTCCTTTCTGAGGCTGCTGCCGTTTGAACGAGTCTCCATTGTCAGCCAGCTTGGTCGTTGGCTCCGTCGTCTCGAGGATCGTCGATGGGAGGTTTTGTGACGGCGTGGAGCTTGAGGAGACCAAGACAAAATCCACTTCTCCTGGTTCTTGTCTTTCTGAAGGCTTCTTCCGGTCTACAGGAAAAAACAAAAAAGAACGGTCTATAATATTAATATAATGTCAAAACAATAACTACAAAAAATGTGGTCTAACGTTTAAAGAAAATAAGATCCACTTCTCCTCGTCGTCTTCCTGAAAGAATGGTAACACACCCTCCACCACGACAATCTTCGACCGCTTGAAGGCACCTAGCAAAACCAAGCCAAAAACAATCATGCAAACCGTGCCGAAGTTGAAGCCACTCAAGCACTTTTTCTTTGATCCTCAACAAGTGAGGTATCACCCCGAAATCTGAAAGGAAAATGCGCCTTTTCAATCCATCAAAGGTTCATCTGTGTACCATCACGCCTCCGTCTTCCATCAGGAAAACATAGGAAAACCAGGTTGTTCTCAAGAGTCAAAGACAAACAAAGAGAAGCCAAGCACAAGGGAGAAAAGAGCTAGGAAACAATGATTTACTTCGAGTGATCCCCACCATGACATGTCAATCACTTGTTGGTGGTTTGTGCTCTTATACACAACGTCTATCATAAATGCCATGGTTGAGGCTCTACGGAATTCTATCCAAAGTGCGGCCCTGTCCTTGCTTTGGCTTCACCGTAACGGTCGCGCTAACAGGCGCAAGACGTGATGTTTCGACTCACGGACTACGTTGCTGAAGCGATGGTTGCAAAGCAACAGACTACCAGGCTGGCAGGCCCTTCCAGGTGTCGGGAACTGCGCTTACTTATTGTGGTTGTGCTTGGTTGGTGATATATTGTGTTTGTGTGCTTGTCGTTGTTGGTTGTGTCTTGTGTTGGTGTTTGTGTTTGTGTGTTGTGGTTGTGTTTTGTTTTTGTGTGTTGTGTGTTTGTGATTGCTGTGTTTGTGCTTGTGTGTTTGTAACTGCGTTTGTGGTTGTGTGCTTTGTGGTTGTATTTGTGGCTGTGTCTTGTTAAATGCGTATTGTGTGTTGTTTGCGGCTGTGCTTTGTGTTTGTGTGTGTTTTTGTCTGGTTGTGTGTTGTGTGTTGAGGTCCGGCAGTGCCCACTGCGATCTGGCGCTTGCAGTTGAGGTCCGGTAGTGCCCACTGCGATCATGCGCTTGCAGTTGTATAGCCCAGTGCTATCTGGAGCTGGCAGTTGAGGTGCGGTAGTCAAGGAGAGGAGAGGAGAGGAGACGAGAAGAGAAGAGAAGAGAAGAGAAGAGGAGAAGAGGAGAAGAGCTCTGACAAAATCTAACATCCCTCACCTGGCAGGTGGGGAACAACAAAGAATGCCAAAGACACGAACCGATAGGCAAAAAGAAAGTGGAAAAAAAACACGCTCTACTAGAAGAAAGGAAGAAGGCAATCTTGCAAATCTTGCAGATCAAAGTGGCCGGGAAGAACGAGGAAGACTTGAACTTACCATAAGATCCAAGCACTCTGGGAGGGCACCCATCCTGGATGTCCTGGACCAAAAGGCGCTTGGGCCAGGAAGAAAATCCCCAAGATCCAAAGAAGGGGCAAGGGGCAAGACCTGCCAACCGATCACAAAAACAATAGGCTCACAGGAAGGTAGATGTGTGACGCTGGCCGGCGCCACCCCGCTGCGCACAAACCAAGAGAGAAGGCATGAGAATGAGAAGACACCTTTGAGGTAGCTCAAAAGTTTGAAGTTGAGTTTGTCACAAGCTGTACGAAAAATGGTGCAAGCATGGCATGATAAGGTCGCACCATGACCTCTTGTACTACCAAGAGAACAGCGCAGATTGATGACTGACGTCTTAAAAAAGGCTTCCGAACACCCAGCACAAGATCGAAGGCGTGCAATTCCCAGTGGTTGGCCCGCGGGGCAAAGGACACTACCTGCTCCTAGCATGGCTTTGCCAAGCGCACAGGGTGTCGCCACGTTCCCTCAAGAGAGTTTATCTTTCTGTGGCACCAAGAACCAAGAACTGGCACAGGTGCCGGTGATGGGCACTTAGACAAAGACTCAGCAGAACGAAACAAACATTGGCACCATGTCCCCTGTCTACATTCATAGTCTGATCGGTGGGTATGTCACATTGACTGTGAAACTGAGATAGCAAGCTAAATTGTCGGATTCTCGTCCAAACTCTGCAGCAATCAAAAGGCTTGCGCAACGGCACAACGAACTCGTTTCCGGGCGGGTGAAGCTGCAGTTGAACAGAGAGTTTGGGGAACAATTCCAGCTTCGCACAGTTGAGATCAGTTCTGAGTTACATCCGACATCCGTTCATCCGACAATGCATGGGCAGAAAACAAATCGAAACTGCCGAGAATGAATGGCGTTTTTCTCGCCGCGCGGCACGCGGACGAGTCATCGCGCCTGTGACCTTTTGGAGCGTCGACTTCTTCTGGAGCGTAGACTCCTGCACTGTCTGTGGCAAGCCCCAACATCAAGCACAGAGTGCTTTCTTGAGCTGAAAAATTAAGGAGCAGTTGTAAGATACAGTAAAAGCCCTTCAGCATACACCCATACCGATAGTATGTTGGCATACCGGTGCGGGAGCACCGATTAGTCGACCGCTCATACAACCAAGTTGCAATCATGGCCGGGCTCAAGGGTTTTTGTTGTGGAAGTTGCGTGGAAGTTTGGGGTAGCTTTCGTTTGTTGCTTTACTTTGTGTGGTTGGATAGGTTCGCCGCATTTGCTGCTGCTTCGTTGCTGAAAAGGGCTGAAAGCTACAGCGCATGACCTTACGTCTCCTAGAACCAGGCTCTGATTGTAACCGTTTGCCTGAACTCTGGAACCAGGCCCTATAGACCCAGCGCCACTTGTCGACTGGAAGCAGGCCCTGGATACGACAACCAGTTGTCGAACCCAACTGAACAGCATAGCATCCACTCCACCTGAACCCCATAGCAATATACTATTACTATTACAATACTCTCCCACAACCCCATCCGACCACCACCTACTCTACCCCACCTGGAAGCCACATTATTCCTGACTTCGAACATGTTTTGATGCGTTTCCAAATAATCCACCGCGGAATATAGCTGCACGGTGTCCATCTCTAAATAGGAAGCATTGAATTGTCGATATAATAGTCTGCGAACAGAATAGGGTCTTGACAAAATCCTGACTTCAATTAGGACCGAATGAAGTGCGTCTGCTTTTCTTCGGTTTCACAGTAATATAGCCAGCTGGCCTATTTGCATTGTCATTCTCATTTGTATGGGTCTGCTGGATCGTCCGCAAGTGAGTGCACCCTTACCTCGCCGATCGCTACCTGCTTGGCTCTACACTACATGTTCAACGCACCATCTCTGTCGCAAGATCATTGCAAACATGTTGTAAAAATCTCATATCCCTCTAGGAATCGCAACGAAGAAGTGCCAACGGAACCTACATGCTAGTCCAACACCCACGCAAGAGGCAAAGGCAGCACCACGGCAGAACACTTGGCCTACCGAGTCGACAGGCACGATAGGCAAAGCACGGCTGAGGAGTATGTGGACCCGTCATGTGGACCCGTCCGTGCCAGTACCCAACGGCATATGTGCCAACGTCATGTTCGGCACAAAGCACGGCGTGGACAAAGCACGGCTGAGGAGTCTTATGTGCCTCTTCACATGCTGAAGACGTATGAGTCAGCCGCCGCTCAATGTCGACATATCAATCGGGACACGGCTTTTCGGGCAAAGCCCTAATGATGTCTTCCTAACCAGATTTGTCTCACAGCCTTGGATTTTTGAATTCAGTGGCACTGGAGGCCACAAGCCATACCAAAGGAATGTCTCATACAGCTCTTCTAAGGCTCAGTAGTTTCTATGAGCTCAGCTCTGCCTACACTTACTTTGAGAATGCATTCTAAACACTACTACAGCTCAAATTCGTGTATAATTGTATAACCACATTCAACTTGCCTCCCAAAAGTACAAGGGACTGGGTTGGTCCTACCAAGTAAATGTTGATTCTCGCGCATTCACGCCCAGGACCTGCGTTCCTGGCAGTGCTGGACCCAGATGTCCAACGACGCAACGGTCTTCGAGTGAATGACTCGACATCAAGACGCATGCCTCGATGCGCTGGCAACAGATCATTCAATATCAAGCCAAATCAAACATGAGCTGACCTTGTACCGGTCACGGCTGTAGCCAGAATGAAATCCCTCTACACCAACTCCCGCAGGTCTACAGTGCAGCTACAGATCTGTGCGCAGAGAAGTTGCCCCAACGACTGATTTTGAGAGTGCATGGCGTGTAAGGTTCTATAGATGGCTCCCGGGACACCTGTACCTAAAATACACAGGGTAAAGGTGTATGCTTTGACTGCGGAGGTTCTCTACCGTGAGCGTTCTTTCGTATGATCGGAGCGTTGAATCTTGTTTGACGGTGGCCGCAAGCGGCGCAAGCGTGGGTCTTCCCAGAATCTGTTCACAAGCTTAAACCCACAAAGAACTTTGAAAGATGTTTAACAAATATATCTTTGATGTGTGAGAAAAGATGGAAATGAATGAATTCTCCTCTGCATCTTCTTCCTCCTCATCGCTCTCCTCGTTCGTCAGGCTTTGTTTCTGTTCCCGGCGAAGAGCTTGTGCAAAGATATGTAGAAAAGCAAAGGCGCAGACTGAAATCAGCATTACCAAAACAAAAAGAGCACACATCCTGGTTGTAGTTGCAGACGGGAAAATTATCAATAACATGGCCACAACGAAGTAGAGCACGAAACGTGTAGTAAGCAAACTGGTCTCCAGTATGTCCAAGATCTCTGCTTGGTTCTTGGAGTAGGGCTTGAACCAAGTTGTAAGGCAAAGCAGTATGCCTGATATGAAAGCGAATACAAACAGCTTGGCTGTTTGATCTTCCACCAATGAAGTGTAGGCTATCAGCATCATGAGAGCAATGTCTGCACGTTTGATCAGAAGATCCCACCACCACATCGATGGTTCCAAACCGCGAATAAAGAGCCCATACTTTCGCCCACTTTCGAGCTCTTGCCGCGTTTTCCCCAAGCGGTAGATCAGCACAAACAACCAACATGGGATGCCCAGACACCAAACACTCAATCCAACGATTGAGATGATAAACAGAGGCCAGTGATCTTCGCTGAAACAAACAACACTTGGACTTGGCACCAGTCGTGGCCGCACGCAAGCATCCTCCCTGATAGGCGTGCACCACACCAACGACAGAAACTGTGAAAGAAGTTGGGGCCAAATGGCAATCAAAGTCGGCCAAACGACCGGCACACTCTGAATCAACAGTGTCTTAAGACCTGGCTTCGGAGTGAAGAGGCCAAAGTCCAAACGATCGACCGTCCAGACGTTCGCTTGGCTCGGTGGAGTAGCGCCGGTCACGTTCACGTCACGGGCAGTGTCAGGTAGAGCACCGGTGGTGCGCAAGTCATCCTTTGGCTGTTCGGCTTCAATAGCTACCGATATAGCACTAGCATCGCCAGATTGCTTTGCAGGCCTTTCCTCAGCGCCTCACATGATGCTATCAGCAATATGCGTGTCTCCCAAATCCCCCTTTCTGTTGCGAAAACAAGCTGTTTAAAGCACACAAGCGTATCTTGAGGCCCCGATTCAGGGACCTGACATGCATCCTTCTACAGTTCAACATGTCTGACATGTATGACACCAACATGTTTCAAAGAAGAAAACATACCGCCTCGATCCCAAAGCTCGGCACGATGAACTAAAGCACCGATGAGTGTCGGTGGAACGAGAGCTTCCGTGATCACCTCAGCGACCGAACGACGAGAGCTGCGGTTCGACGCTGACGACTCAGACTGAAAGGGACTCGCGGTGTTCGTCCGTGCTCGGTCGTGCTGGAGTCTTCTTTGCAGGCAAGAGACCTTCTTCAAGTCTTCTTCGGAGAATTCTGCAAATAAGAAGTCCGTTGATGGAGAGTTGAACGTTTCTAGATCTAGACCCTCTTCTGCAAGAACAGCCTCAAGCTGAGGGTCTTTGGCACTTTTCATCCGACAAATCTCTTTGGCAAATCTCTGGTGCGTGTCAACAATTGAAGCGAAGGAGTCCAAACCACGGAATTTCGGCAGGTCAAGCGGTACATCTGATAACTTCAAGTCACGCGTCCAAGAATCATGAAACAGGGCTTGAATCCGCTTTCTCTTCTTCTGTTTCTTCTTGGCTTCCTTGTTGAAATGCACTCCAAATCGCCTTGCAACTGGAACCACGAAATGCACAACCACAGCACAAACCGAAAATGTTGCTAACGAGGTGAGCAGAGGTAAAGAGATGAAATACAGTGCAGGTGCAAGTCGTTGTGCCCCGGGACGTTCTGGAAACAATTCGAAGGCTCGACATTGAGCTGAAAACTTCACAGATGTAAACTTCGGCACCACATTTGAGATAGCGAAGAACACAGCGATGGCATGGCTCACTTCCACCGGCCATGGGAGCCTCAAGCTTTCAAGCGCTTCATTGACGTCACTCGTTCTTGTGCTTTTTGGTGCAACCGCTTGGCTTGAACTCCCATATTGCACCAACTGCTCTTCATCACAGGAATCTGATGAAACGGATGCTTGCGCAAAAGGCGTCTCCAACAGTTCCAAATTGAAATGAGTGATCAGGGCACAAGCTGTGAACCATTGTGTTAGGATTCGGATCATGTAAGTGTGAAGTGGCAGGTTCGCATTGGCTGCGTCAGACGCAGCCAAAGCTGCTAAAACAAAATTCAAGGCCGCTATCTTGGTGATCTCAAACACGATGGCCGTGCTAAATTGACCTGTTCCAGCCCCAGCCAAACACTCCTCACATGGACTGACGTCTTCAAACTTGGCCCAGCCAGCCGGGCATTCGCCACAAAGCATTCCGGTAGTTCCTTCTGCACATTGGTTGTCTCCGAGACAGGCGCTGGATCCATCAGCTAGCACGACTCGACACTTGGTAGCGAAAGTGCTTCCTGTCTGGTAGAAGCCTGCAGCAGCTCGAGGCTGCACATGCTCAGTGGAATTTGGTTCAAAGCCACCGGGGCAATACAGGCCCACATAGGGCAAGCAGCTGGCACAGCGTTCCAATCGACCGTTCGAGGAAAGTATTGCGTGGTAGTTCTTCACGCAAAAACAGTCTTCCAAGGAGGTGGCACCAGGATAACTATCGGCATTTGATGGGCATGTTTGGGAACAAGTCTCATTGCCGATGTTGCTCTTATACCTTCCAGGGACACATGGCTCACAGCTGCCACTCGAGTAATGGCCGACCACACATAAGCAGTCATCAATCGATCTGGCAGAGGCCACCAAGGTCTGAGAGTGCTGCGGACACTTCAAAGGCTCCCCGTTTCCTGGGCAGTACAAGCCGGGTGTGCAATCGGAACAAACTCCTTCCGCATCAAAAGTGCCAATTTGGCATATGCAATCTTGGATTGAAGCACCTCCGACTTTCAAAGTGGATTTTCTAATGGGACATGACTGGCATTTATCGTTGGCGAGCGTACTCTTGTACTCTCCAATCCCACAAGGACTGCAGCCTTTGCTCTCTTCAAGGTACTCATAGCCGCTTGTGCAAAGACACTCTTCGACATTTCGAATAGTCACACCTGGTGGTACCAGGGCGTTTGCCCGGCATATCAAAGGTAGGAGGGACACTGAGACATTGGAGGGCTGCACATCTATTATGCCTAGTACTTCGTCTTGACGCAAGGTATCCAACACAGCATCTGAGGCAATACTGAGATCTACTTCTTCAGCAAATGTCTCTGCCTCCTCCATAGTCAAGTATTTGAGTGTGACCACCAAAGTCCTCATGGTTGACATGCGCCTGGATGAATTGTTGCTATCGTACAAAAGGTCCACTTCTGTGATTGCACGAGTGCCCCACATGGTGCGCAATGCGGATGCCACATTGTCGCTGATTGCGTCTGAGGCGTTGCCGGTGGCTGTGATAGAAAGGCTGAACGTCAGGACAGGCACTTCACATGTGTGGGAATTTGAGGCATTCGATTCGGATTCACCATCTTCAAGCGCCAACATTGTTTCTGGAACGCATGACATGTTGGAGGATGCTCCTGCAGAGAATGTCGTTGTGTTTTCTGGGCATCTGACGCATTCTTCATTGGCGGTTGCAGACTTGTAGAAGCCTTTGGCACAGTCAACACATTGGCCATCAACAAGTCCATATCCAGGGAGGCATACGCACTCCTCCCTCGAAGCAGCATGCCAATGTAAGGTGGTCTCCTCTGCAGCGCAAGAAACTTTGTTGGCGTCAGTAGGGTCACCTCCCCTGCAATAGAACTTCTTTGGGCATTTGGCACAAACTTGAGAAGATTCCGCATAGTACGTTCCTGCAGGAGTTTCAAGAAGTGTACAAGGTTTTAAGAGTCAACCGTTTTTCACCGGCCAGCTCTTGCTGCTTCGGCATTGACAAGGAAAGGTACACAAACAACACCTTGTTCGCTTGCCGTGCGACGGCGACCCCGGAGGACCCCGGCGAGCGGCGAGCGGTTTTCCTTGCTTTCTGCCTTGAAAGACAAGTGCAAAAGGAATCAAAAAAACGAGAAGAAACTGAACAGAGGATTCAACTACACCAAAGACTATTTTAAAAAAGAAACCTATGATCTCAATGATCTCCTGGTGGGCAATGAATCTGCAGTTCTCCAGCTGCACCTCGAAAATCTGAGGCTGAAGTGCACAACAGATCGGCAGGGCACCAGCAAATGCGATACCCTCCTGGACCAGGTGTCGAACCAAAGGGCAAGGTTCCAAGGTCAACTTCAAGTCCATTGCCGTCGTCCTTCACTCTCAAAGGCTCTGGAAGCTCCATGAAGACCTGGAAAGCGACCCCTTGGTAGCTCCAGCTTTGGCAACTATGATTGCGGAACACCAAGCGATCACCCACATTCAAACCGATACCAACCAGCTGTACAGCGCATGGATGGCCTTGTTCGCACACTCTTGTAACGTAGAATGGACCCTTTGTGGTGAAAAGACCCAGCGAAGCTCGAAAGTCCAAAGCATGGGTACAGTTTTCCAGAGATGGCCGGCAAAAGCACATGGAAAAAATACCCACTGCCGACCACAACAAGGAGCTTTCACCCACAAAATCGAAGTCTCCATTCTCCTGGCAAAGCAGCTTTGGGTGGCAGGATAAAAAAGAGCAAGCATTGTAATCGTCCATTATGTCTTATATAAAGCTGTGGTTTGACAATGATATGTTGCTTTGCTTGCACTGCTGTTAAGCCTTCTGTGTGCCATGTCCATTTCTTTGCCAAGCTTCGTTGCGAAAGGCAATTCCATTGCCGGGGCTTCCAGGAAGCATAGGACCTGTCTCACAATCCGTGCGGAGCATGATCCGGTCACCAGTCATCAAACCAACTCCTTTGATGTTCTGCAAATGGCAAGGCTGACCCAGAAAGCAGTTCGTCCGTTGATTTGTGTAGGGTCCTAACACTTGCAAGTGGCCGGCTGGCACTGCAAAATCTGAAGCGGTATTGCAGGAGCCGCCGCACCAGCAAATGGTGTACGCTTCATCCGCATCCAGCAGAGCATTGCCAAATGTAAGGTAAAACTCTCCATCAAAGGTCGAAAGGCTGCCAGTACCATTGGGATTTGCAAGTGCCAGCGATAGGACTTCAGAACCACCACATGCACGGCGAACCGCCACTCGATCTTCTATGGAAAGCTGATGTCCTTGAAAAGGCCGCAAACCTAAACAGGTCTGACCTCGAACACAGTCCAAGGAGTGATTACGTAAAGGTCCAATGACTTCAAGTTTTCCTGCAGACAAAATGAAATCGGTCTGCAGACTTCCGCATTGAAGATCGCGCATGTTGGCACACCAGCACAGATTGTAAATTCCTCCTTCTGGGCTGAAGTCACCAGCCGCATCACCCCAAACATGCATGCTTCCGCTGCTTGTTGCAGGCTTTGAGACTCCTTGAGCAACCACATTGGGCACAGCCGCTTTGCCACCCGAGTCGCAGCTTGACGTCGACAAAGCAAGCCGATGACCATCTTGAAGGTTGAAACCAGTGATTTCAACATGGCAAACCTTCCCCGATATGCAGCGCACAAGCTGATGTCCGTCAGGCCTGACACACAAACTCATCTCGTCAGCACCCTCTTCACGAGTTGTAGCGCCCGGCATGCAGGAAATGCAAGCGTCTTCATGCGAAGCCGCAGACTCGTTACTCCACTTTCCTGCTGGGCAGGGTTCACAGGCCCCATCGCCAATGTCTGCTTTGAATGAGCCTTTTGGACAAGCTTCGCACACAGACTCCACACGGAAGAAACCCGAGGCACAAATACACTCGGATTCGCTGTTAGCGGTCTCTGTAGACGAGGTCAAAGACTGACCGCAGGCCTGTTTGTGTGTTCCACCTTGACAAAAGAAACCCTGGCCACAAGGTTGGCAGTTTGCAGGGTCATCCAGCACCTCGTTCACGTATCCAGCTGGACAAGTGCAAGCCGCACTAGAAATTCCTCCTTCTTGTAAAGTTGAGAGTCCACCACAAGACGAACAGGCTGCATCGTCGACAGTCGACTTGTACTTGCCCCGTGGGCATTTCGTGCAACCACTGGCAAGACCTGATTCATCTGGTACCGGCTCCATTCCATGAATGCACTTGCAGTCGGACTGGCTTCGAATGATGCCAGTGATCCCAAAACCCAATCCATCGGGACACCGGAGGCTTTCCATAGCTATCTCGCTTCTGCTGGTCACTTCTGATTCCTTTGCCGAAGCCAAGGCAAAGAACACGTCTGCATCCATCTTCGCATGAAGCTTGGCTGCCTCCTCTTCTTCTGACGTCATGATTTTGTAGCTAATTTGCCCTGCAGTTGGAGTCAGATGCAGGGATGCCCGCGCACTCAGAACCAGGTAGTCAATCAAATTTAATCGCACAACTTCAAGAGAATCAGATTCCGGAGATGACATCGAACCGTGAAATGAATACATTAGCACTTCAGTTTGGGAAAGGAAACCAGCAGTGCTGACAAATTGCTCCAGAACAGTTAGATCGGCACATGTGATGTTCTCGCTCAAGTCAATGTCAATTTTGCCAGATGGGCAAGAACACTCATACAATGCGATGGCACCCTCTGGGGAAACAGTTTGAGGTGGGCATGTTTGGCACAAGTCAGGTCCAGTGTGGTTCTTGAAGTAGCCTGGAGGACACATGGAACAAGTGCTGACCTGCGCATTCAAGAAATGGCCGCGCCGACATTCACAGGCTTCTGCTGAGACTGACCCACTAGGCGAGGTGCTTCCTTGAGGACATTCGTAGATCATGGACTGGTGAGAATCGGCAGCCTTGCCACCAGGACAGTAGCTTCCAGGAGGGCACTTTTGGCATTTGGAGATCATGCCATGCAGCTCATACCATCCTGGAATCGTGACAAGAAGAGAAAAAACACTGTTGCAAAGGACCTGTCTCCTTTCGCAATGAACATTGCACAACAAAAGAAGAAAAACCTACCCTCAAACGAATTACAAACAGCTAACCCTCTGGAGCAAGGCCACGGACGGCAAGGCCAGAAGGAGGCAGCATTTGCTCGGAACGTCTGAACGGGCAAAAGTGGGAGGCCAAAAAAGCGCTCCCCTGTGCTTAGCAAGAAAAATAACAGAGAGTTTCTAAGCAGCAGGTAAGGATTGGTGTTTTGTTTACCTTTGCGACCAAGCAAGTCTATTGTTGAATGTGCGGCAAAGGGCGAGGAGATCCAAGACAAACATGATGTAGTTGGTCGCGGAACAAGGTTGCGCCAAGGACAAATGAAACAAAGGTCGAACTACACAGGTTGCAGAATTGACACAAACTCCATATTATGTGCCAAATGGAGTCTCGCATGTGTTCTTTGTGCCTGGTTTTCAATTGACACTACGTTCGTGAACCACTTTGTCCAGCTATTGGTTTGACGGTATCTTTCAATTTGCTCGACCAGTTTGTCTTGACCTTTGACGACTTATACGCGTCGGACACGCCCCGAGAAGACAGTCCTGGCGGGCAAACCACATAGAAAAGCATGGCCAGAGCACGGAAATCCTCCAATTCTCCGCAGCTTGACTCTTCTGGGCACCAGCATAGTTGCACCACTTCTGGCGAGCCATCCAGCTCCAAGTGGCCAAAATCAAACAAGAGATCATCGGACTGGGTGGAAGCGGAAGCGCTGATGGGGTGCGGCTCTGGAAAGAGTGATGTCCGCAACAATGTCCCGCATTCTTTCATTGGAAGCAACTGGTCAGTCTTAGAAAGTCGTGAGCCTTGCAATCCTGAGATGACACAAGGAGCCCCCTGGTCGCAAATGAAAGATTGCCCTGGAAAGGGACCGGCCACGATCAACAATCTCACGTCGAACCAATGGCTCTCACAATCCTCAAGACTCGGACACCAGCGGATCCGGTACAGACCAGGCTGCACCTGCACAACAAGTGGATCAGACAAGTCGCTTCGATTTTGGTCTGAGTCTTCGCTGGTGGAATTCTCCAGAGCAAAGGAAAAGTTATATCCATCCAGCGTCTTTAGATATAAGCCCAACAAACTCGGTTCTGAAGAGCCTGTGAAAAAGTTGACAACAGTCAGAATGTCACCTGCTTCCAATCTGCGACTTGCCAACTGCAGGCTGCACTCCTGACCTAAGAAGCATTCCTCGACAGGTACTTCCTCCGCTTCAACTCCTACGTAGCGCCACATGTCCTTCTTGTAAGATACATCATAGCCACCTAGAAGATACATGTAGCGTGAGCTTGGGTCCCACCAGGCTACGTGGTCCTCTCGAGCAGTAGGGCTGGGATAAGGTCCAGGAGGAGCCAAAGGAGTCCACGAGTTTGTCAAGATGCTGTAGTTCCACAATTCTGCTGTGTAGTTGTGTGACTCATTCAGCACTTTGACACCTCCAAAAGTCAAGATAGACAAAGTCGTTGGATCCCAAACGGCCGAATGGCCGGCACGACCGGAAGGTGGATTTGCAGGAGACAGCAACGTCCAGGAATTCGTCCACCAGCCATAATGCCAAAGATCGTCCAGCGCCGTAAAGTCCCAACCTCCGAAAATTAGAATTGCTTTTATAGCATCTGCCCAGACTGCAGAGTGCCTGCTTCGGGCTGAAGGCTTGTCAGATGATGGTGTCAATTCTTTCCATGTGTTTGACAGCAAATGATACTCCCAGAAATCAGCCAGATTCACAGGGTTTTCACCAGCAAACACCAGCATCACCTGATTGTCCGCATCCCATACTCCCGAATGGTAAGCTCTTGCAGGGGGTTTTGCGGCCATTGCGGCCGAATCAGATTTCTTCCATGAGTTTGTGTGCACGCTGAAGAGCCATAACTCATCAAAATAGGATGTGAAATAGCTCCCACCAAAAATTAACATGGTGCGGGAGCGGAAATCCCATACTGCTGAATGGCCACCCCTAGCTGAAGGTCCATCCGCTGAGAGTTGCTCCCAAATACCTTGTTGATTGCTTCGCCACAAATCATTGTAATACCGGAAGAAGCCTGCTTCATGGCCAGCAAAGACTAACACCGATGCATTGGCTGCATCCCAAACTAAGGAATGGCCTCTGCGAGCTGAGAATGTGGGATCTGCAAAGCGCGTCCAAGCATCCAAATGGCATTCGACTGCAGCAGCTTCCCAAAATCCACAATCATGAACCCCCCATCCTCTGAATGGGCATTGGCCGATATCAAATTCGTCACCGATACAGTCAACATTATCCATACCAAATTGGCCACTTCCATTCCAGTGAAAGCTCGCAAGTCCACCTGCGAAGCCAAGTTGCCGACAAACTACCTGTGCATTCACGTTGTTCCAATTGTCGTCGCAAACATCGCGCCAGGAGTCTTGAACTTTCACCTGCACACGCCCTTGTGTTGGTGTGGCATCAACAAGCCGGATGTTTGTTGTGAAAACCGCGGCAATAGAACCTGTATCAACCTCACTCAAATGGTCACCCATCTCATATATTTCATCACCAATGTTCTCTGTGTTGCCTTGGCCCAGATTTCCCGCATAATTAGATCCCCAACACTTGATCATGTCATTGTCAAGCAAAGCGCATGTGTGGTGAGTGCCCGCTGAAATGTGCTTTGCTGTTCGGCCACTGCTCAAGTCCACCGAAGCTAAATAGTCACCCATCTCATTGGTGTCATCACCGATGTTCTCTGTGTTGCCTTGGCCTAGTTGGCCATAATGACCAGATCCCCAACACTTGATCATGTCATTGTCAAGCAAGGCGCAAGTGTGGAAAAAACCCGCTGACACTTGCTTTCCTCTTCGGCCGCTGCCCAAGTCCACCGCAGCCAAATAGTCACCCATCTCATTCATATTATCACCGATGCTCCATGTGTTCCCTTGGCCAAGATTTCCCGCATAACTAGATCCCCAACACTTGATCATGTCATTGTCAAGCAAGGCGCATGTGTAGTCTCCGCCTGCTAAAACTTGCTTTGCTGTTCGGCCGCTGCCCAAGTCCACCGCAGCTAAATAGTCACCCATCTCATTCATGTCATCACCAATGTTCTCTGTGTTGCCTTGGCCTAGCTGACCATAATTACAATATCCCCAACACTTGATCATGTCATTGTCAAGCAAAGCGCATGTGTGAGCCCGGCCCGCTGACACTTGCTTTGCTGTTCGGCCGCTGCCCAAGTCCACCGCAGCTAAATAGTCACCCATCTCATTCATGTCATCACCGATGTTCTCTGTGTTGCCTTGGCCTAGCTGGCCATAATTACCAGATCCCCAACACTTGATCATGTCATTGTCAAGCACTGCGCATGTGTGGTAGTAGCCCACTGAAACTTGCTTTGCTGTTCGGCCGCTGCCCAAGTCCACCGCAGCTAAATAGTCACCCATCTCATTCATGTTATCACCGATGTCCTCTGCGTTGCCTTGGCCCAACTGGCCAGAAGAACCCTTTCCCCAACACTTGATCACGTCATTGTCAAGCAAGACGCATGTGTGATAGCCCACTGAAACTTGCTTTGCTGTTCGGCCGCTGCCCAAGTCCACAGCAGCTAAATAGTCACCCATCTCATTCCTTGGCTGCTCTCAGCTTGGCCGCTGGAAGCTTAACTTTAGGGTCCAAAATGCATCAAAAACAATGTTTTCTCAAAAGGGTGAGCATACCAATGCCATCCTGATTCCCAGCCACACACAGATAGACAATCGCGGAAGTTTAAAGTACCAAGGTGGAAAGAACGGCCGGCTGCTGATGGACCCCATCAGATATTTTCCATGTCCGCTTGCGTTTGCGCGGGCACAGCTCCGCCACAACAATTTGCTTCAATCTAATTACGAGGGAATGGAATCTGCAAGTATTGGCAGGGCCCAGGAGAAGATTGCGTGGGTTGAGTCTGTCCGCGTGGATTTCGACTGCGACTTTCCTTAGCCACTCCACGGTCTCTGTAAAGACGCTAGCAACGAGAGCGACAAGACGCTAGCAAGAGATGACAGCAGAGAACCACCACCCGCAGGACAAGCCTCGGTTGCGGACACATAAAGTCAGGTTTAATGCCTTTAATTTTTTCTTTCTGCGTCTTCGAAGGGCGAACGGCGCATTACCAAGTTGGTGGTGTACAACCGGGCGCTCTTCCAGTGTCAGAGGCCAGAAATGATTGACATTCTCCTGGCGGTTGGTTGACAAAAGGAGCCTTCGAAACCAGAGCAGAATCCATGACAAAGCCGTGGCCTTTGCAGGAAAGGCGTGGGCTTTGCAGGACCAGGAAGCGAAGCAAAAAAGACAACAAATCATAAATAGATATATCTACGCTCAGGTCTTTGCTTAGGGCGCGGGTCCTTTGCGCCTTGCGGGGGGGCATGGTGGTGTTTAGAGGGAAACCGAGCACCGCAGGGCAACTGGAAGAGATCAACTCCGCCTGACGAAAGTTGGGCGTCAGCAGATAGCACTGCAAGACATCGAGCACCTTGCCTGGTACATTGCCTCAAGCAAGGCTTAGCTGACGAATATGTTTTCTTCAGGGTGTCTCTGCTTGCAACCCTGAGGGTTTTCGCGGCGCTCAAGACACATCGTCTCCTTCCTTCAATCTTCCTACATGTTCCGAATTAGCTTCTGTTGAGCAGATCCTCTCACAACGCGTGATCGAGGGAGTCTGAAGCTTCAGAACACCCAGCGTTGGGAGGAGTCTGGCCGGCTGACAACAAAGATCTGCCCCCTGCAGGAAGAAACTCTTTCAACAAGCCATCTCTCTGTGGGGATTTGATCCCTTGACGTGGCCACGGACTCACTTCTGTCAAAACGCCGCAACTAGGGTTGAGACTTGGCTTCTGTAGAAGCCAGCTTGACCCGAAAGGGTTTGTTGACGTGCGCCTATTGCAAAACCGGTTCTGCTTTACAGGGCGCGCTCATGTTATGTTGTAAACACCTGTAAACATAGCAGTTGCAACTCCAATTTGGGGTTCGCGTCCGCGACGACAATACCCAATAAAATCAGGGCTAGTAAGCAGCAGGCTGTGACCCGAAGGCCGAACTGCAAATTGAAAGGTATAAGAGCTCTCGGTTCTTTCTTCGGGCGAAAATCAAGGAAGAGATGCTTCCAAAGCGCCCGCTTTGGAACTCAGTGGCTTTCAATTCGCCCGGTTTCGAACAGGGTGTGGCCACGCCATGTGCGAATGTAACGGCAAACTTGGCTACTGAGGAAACGATCTCGGGGCTCCCAGGACCTCCTTCAGAAATTGAAAGAATCTGAATCATGTTACTGCCCGGAATGCCCATGGAAAATTGCCCATGCCGTTTGTAAATTGTTCCCTGAAATATTGATTTTGCAAAACTAAGTTTTGGATTGAAATCTTCGGCAGAAATCTGCACGCCCAAACGTCCGCGCTCGAAGTGCGTTGACAGAAGTCACCCGTGCTGCTGTTGCAGCTGCAAGCCTTGTTGATACACTTGAAGTTGCGGAGCCCTGCTGGGGTTAGCGGTCAGCTTGCCTAAGGAATCGGCCCTTTGGCAGCTGCCTCAGGGTTACGTTTTCCTCTGCGAGCAATGGCCTTGGGACGATGACGATGGCAGGCGTCTGCTTGCCAAGCAACTGCAAAATAACAGCCCGTTCATTTGCCACGCGGGCGCTAGCCTGCCAAACAGGTGCGAAATCGGAAAAGGAACTGGCCTTGCCACTGCAAGCCCGGGGCTGGTGAGTTGAAACTCGTCTTTGCGGAAAGGTTGTGGATGCCAGCGGTCTGTCAAGGACTCACAGACGTAAGGGCAGATAGCCAGTAAGAAGATCACATACTGCAAGGACTTGCCCCCACAACAGCTCGTCCTTGATCTTGTCGGTTTATGGAGACAGCCGTTCAATTAGCGCAGTGGCCGAAAAACACTCTGATTGCCAATTGCTGTCAGCTGTCAGCTGTCAGGACGACAGTAGCTTCGAAGTTGCTCTCTCTCTCTCTCTCGAAAAACGCTGTGGCACACCTCTGGCGTGCCAGCTGCCTGCCAGAAACGCGTGTTTTCCAAAGTATCTGGAGCCAAAGCGGAACCGAAGGAAGCTGACCAAAATTGATCGAAAACGCACGCTTGGTTTCCAGCCTTGTGCAAGGGATGCTCTGGGCGTCTTAAGAGCGACAGCAAGAGCACAACACTTTCGTTAAAGCTGTTGTCAAGTAGCAGCCGAGAAACCATTGATTTGTTATTTGCTTCGGGGGCCACCAATCAGCAACTTGGCGGAGCGCGCTTTTTCTGCGGCCTTGCCTTTTTCTCTAGCTGCACCTGCGAGCCAAAGCTGTCAACCAGCCTGCGCCAAGGTTGTGCGTTTTGGACAGCGGTGACGGTGGATTGTAACCCGCACTATCCCCAAAGTCTTTCCACAACCGGAAGGCGCCTTCGCGACAGGATCTCCGATTGCAGAAGTGACGCGGGGCATGGGAGGAGCTGCTCGGGCAGAGAGTCGTGCAAGCGTTGCTTTTATGAACGCTGGTGAGCGGGCCAAAACCCTTGGGTCACTGGGCAGGTTCTTGGCATATTTTGTTTGCAGACTACGCCTGGCTTCCCTCTGTCTGAAGGCGCGTGGCCAACCAAAACAAATCGATTGTGGGATCCAAACCGCCCGGTATTGTTTCCGTTTTCCTAAGTTGGCAAGCGCATTTCCAAAACGGGCGCTTTGGAACCCTGTCGTGGATCTGCTACGTCATCAGGGAGCACTCAACAAAAGAAAAGAAACCACAGCAGCATCACCATTAGGGAGCAGAAAGCGACAGCTACGATTGCAGAGACAACAAGGTTCAGACATTTTTGGTGGGCAACCTGCGTCTTTAGAAGGGCAGCCTCTGCACTTTTCTTTGGACCATTTCTGTCCTCCAAGCTTCTATTTGGGAAGCCTTTGCCTTGCGAATCTCTGTAATTCTCTCTATTCCTCGCAAGTGTTAGTTCCCGGTTCTGTCCGGGATGGCCTCGCGTGTTTGGGGGCGAGGCGTTGGTGTATGTCAAAAGCTAAAACTGTAAAAACAATACCCAAAAGCATGTCCAGCTTGCAAACTCCTCTGTGTAGACGTAGTCACGTATATGTCTAAACTAGAAGCTTGACATTTCATGCATGATATCAATATATAGATATTTTTGCAGCCCTGTGGCTACGATAACTGTGCATTCGGTAGGGCTTCTGCGCGGTGTGAGGCACGCGCTGGAGCAGACCAAAAGTTTTCGGCTGCAACGAAAAGAGCTGGCCGTTATCTTCTTAGAGCTCCCAGGCCGAGGTGGTGACATTGGGGTGGCGGGCGTGGAAAAGTTTTGATGCGGCAGCCTATATCTAGAAGGTTGTCTACACCTACTCCCCGTACATTCCAATTCTCAGCGAACCCTAATTGGGGGTTGAATGGAATTTGCCGGTGTGGTGGCGCATACAAGCCATATAAGTACGTAAGTCCCTTGCGGGCTTCCGGCGCAAATAAAAGCAATCCGAAAACTTACAGGTGTTTGGGCTTCTTCTCCCACAGGTCGGGTTAATTTTCCTCGGTCTTGGGCCGTTGATCAGGTTTGAGCGGAGCCAGGCAGGGCAAATGTTGTGCTGCGATCTGTTCCTTGAATTTTGAACCAATAAAACAATTTGATCAGGTCTACCACGCCAATCTGCTGGCTGTGAACTGTTCCGTCTTGGCGATGTTGGTAGGAAGTACGGGATTTGGGACGGGGGCATGCTTGCATCTTCCAAATCTGGCGACGGGCTCCAGCCAAATATCAACCAAATAAAGCAACCTTGCAGAATGCCTCACCAAGCGTACGTAACAACGTCTGATAGACTTGAAAATAAACAAATGTAAACAAAAAATCAAAGATCCTAAGGGACCACCTGAGGGCAGCCAAGATTCATGTCATCACCGATGTTCTCTGTGTTGCCTTGGCCTAATTGGCCAGAAGAACCAGATCCCCAACAATGAACTTGCCCACGAGCGACATGCAACACGCATGAATGCCCTCCTGCAACGACGTAAGCACTGTGGACAGATGCAACGTCTGCAGATGTCATGTAAATATTGTCGATGGATAATTCAGCATCTTCTGATTCAAAAATTAAGCCAAATACATTTGCAGGAACGGACAGTTTGACCTTGCGCCACTCTTTGTGAAGGCCATCAGCCCCTCCATCTAAAAGCATCTGCTTGACAAACATAGAATCCGTCATCTTCCAACAGCTGAACCAAAGCCGGAGTCGGCCGGAATCAGCCGGAATCACACGGTACGTGAAGGTCAACCTCTTCAGTTGACCAGCTGGCAGGTGCAGCTGGGTAAACATCTGAAAAATGTTTGCTTGGCTGTAGACGAAACCGGTTTGACCATGGAGGGCAGGATGGAACTGCCACCCGCAGCTACCACTGTTAAAGTCGCAAGTGACACTCTGGTCCAAAGGCCTGGGCGGAATTAGCTGCCCAACTTCGAATAAAACAAAAAAGCTATTAGAAACAAGTGCCTTACTACTAGTAACAAGTGCCACGCTAGTAGTAACAACGGAACGCCTTTTCTCCCTTGAGCCAAAACACGTCAAGAGTCACGTGTCTGCAGTACCCTAGCGGAGTATATATGG